GTAGGGATCAAAACATAGGGAGAAGGACAGATCTTACATCTGCAAATTCACTACCTAATTGCCCGAAACTATTAGGGCTGAGCTTAAGGGAGGAGCCCAGAAATCACTCCAGGTCAAATGTGGGGTGGCATGGAGTCAGCCATCCTCTGCTATCTCCCTGCATGCATACCATCTGGAAGTTAGATTGGAAGAAGAGCAGTTATGTCTAAATGCTGAAATGGGATGTGCATTCCATGTGAAAATTTATATACAACGTTTACTCCACTACATGATCATTAAATTTTAAAACAAATAATTCTGTCAGTCTGTGTAAACCTGCTTTTCAAATAAAAATAAAATCAATAAAATAAACCTTAAAAATAATTAAAATCTAAGTAAAAAGAAGTTTTAAAAATCCATTTGATTGACAAACCCAGTAATTTATTAATATAGCTTACATTAAAGATTTGTAGAAAAATTAGTGAGGATATGAATTGATGTAAAACATATTAAAAACCTGCTGTTAGGAATTTATCATGAACATAGCCATCCTAAAACCCAGACTAATCATCTACCAATCACAACTTGTTGCATCATGTGACTACAACAGTGTAAAAAACCATGAAAAACAGTGATGTATCTGGGTATGTTAATGAGGATAAACCTCAAAGCTCTAGAGTTTAGATAATAAAGTGCAGAACAATGAAGATAACACATCTACTTTTATGTAACTAAGTATTTGATCATATGAAAAATCACACAATTCATAAGCTTCAAATTGTATATTTTTCTAAGGAGCAGGATGAAATCTCATCCCATCCCTTCTCATTCAGCTTAGAACATCAATCTTCCCTTGGTAAAGTATATGCAGGCTATAAATAAAACCTTTTCATTAGGTAATTTAACAATTATTGTAGCTACTGATCAACTGTCACAGTACTACAGTCTCTGTGTTAGAGTAACTGTAATTGACTTAACAGTATCCCTAGAACTATTGCCTTTAATTTATTGCCTATTATAAATTAAAATTTCTCAGCACAGGCATTATGGCAGAGCAGGTAAAGCCATCACCTGCAATGCCAGTATACTGTATGGGCAGTGGTGTGAATCCTGGCTGCTCTATTTCCAATCCAGTTCCCTGCCAATGTGCATGGGAGCACAGAGATGTCCCAAGCTCTTGAGCTGCTGCACCCAAGTGGGAACTCTGGAAGAAGTTTCTACCTTCTGTCTGGCTCAGGCCTTTATATTATGGCCTTAGGGGAACTGAACTAGCAACTGGAAGAGTACAGAAACCCCCAACTTTGATTCTCCCTCTCTGTATACTGTGTTTTTTAAAAATAATTATTTAAAAACCCTTTTCATACCTACACATGTAAAGGAAACAATTCTATATATAATGTTTAGCACTATCTATCATTTCAAGTATGTTCTAGGGAATCTTGGAAAAGTACACAAATATCTTTCTGGTTCACTGAACTGTTTTCTTTGAAAGAAGTACAATTTGTGGCATATGGTGATTCTGTTTTCATATTGTGAGAAACCGTCATGCTATTCTCCACGAGTGTAGCATATTACTTTGTCACAAACACTGTGTACATTTCCAGTTGTATACATCTTGCTAGCAATTGTTAGTTTGTTTTTATTTTGGTATTTCTGACAACAGTAAACCTAATGAATATGATGCAGTAAGTACCTCATTGTGTAGTTTTAAAAGTTTTGATTAAAAATTAACAAAGTTATATATATTTAATGGAGTAATATACAATGTTTCATTGAATATATACACTGTGTAATGCCCAAAAGGGTAAACAGAGTCATAATTTCAAACATTTAACATGTCTTTAATATGGAAATTGTCAAAAATAGTATCTAATTTTATAGAGAACCCTGCTATGTAGTATAACCCTGGAAATTCTTACTCCTATATAGCTATAATTTAATAAATCAATCAGCCTTTACTAATCCCTCCATTCCCACTTCTCTCTCCTGTTTCTGGTTAAGTATACTTATATTTTTAATGACTAGGAGATAGCTTATTGCTTTAGATTACACATGAATGATATTTATCTTTCTAGATCTGGCTTATTTTACTTAAGATAATGAGCCTCCCAGTTCCATCCATGCCGTATCAAATGGCAAGATTTAGTAGTAGTCCATTAGATATATGTAGTCCATCAGATATATGTAGCAAGCTGTCTTTATTCATTCATCAATAAATGAAAAGTTGGGTTGTTAACATCTCTTGGCTATTGAAAAATTGTATACAATAAGCAGATGACTATAAAGGTCTCCTTGACAAAATGATTTTATTTCCTTTTGATATTTATATTCAGTAGTGAGACTGCTGTATCATATTATAGTTTTAGTTTTTAGAGACCCCTGTTACTTTTCACATTGGCTGTACTAATTTACATCCCTAGCAATGATGTGCTAATTTTCTTTTGTCCACAACTTCATAACCACTTTTGTCTTTAAAAAAAAAATCACCATTCTAATTAGAGAGAAATAATACCTCATTGTGGTTTTTATTTCATTTTACTCAAAGCTAGTTACACTGGGCAATTTAACCATGGCTCTTTACCAATTCTTCCATCAATGGACACCTAGGTTGTTTTCAGATCTTGACTATTATAAAAATCCTGCAGTAGGGGTTGACATAACTGCTCAACTAGTTAATTCTCTACCTTGCAGATGGTCACATACCATATAGTCACTGGTCCATGTCCTGCCTGCTCTATTTCCAATTCAGCTTGCTGCTTACAGTCTGGGAAAGCAATTGTGGATGGCCTAAAGCCTTGGGAGCCTGTACCCACGTGGCAGATTCTGATTGGCTTCTGATTGGCTTAGTACTGGCCATTGTGACCATATGGGGAGTGAACCAACAGATGGAAGATGTTTTTCTTTCTCTCTTTCTGTAAATCTGCCTTTCCAATAAAAACAAGTAAATCCTTAAAAGAAAAATACTGTCACGAAAATGGTAGTCCAGATATCTTTAAAAACTACTGAATTTATTTCCATTATGTAAATTCCTGGAAGAAAGATTGCCATGTAGTACGGTAATTTTAGTATTAATCTCTTTAGGAACTTCCAAACTCCTTTCCATAATGGCAGCAACAATTTACATCCCCAATTCTGTGCAAAGGTTTCCTTTCCTCAATATCCTTGTCAACATTTTTCACATTACACATGAAAAATTTTATAGCTACTTTGAAGAACATCTACTCAGATCTTTTACTGATTTGGGGTATTATAATGAGGACATAAGATTAGTGGTTGCCTCAGGCTAGAGGACTAGGAAAGTGGAGATGGAAATAAATATCTAATGCTTTTCTTTCAGTGAAAATTGAAATGTTCTAAAATTTATTGCTCATCTGTAAAAAGGAAATTTTATCATATGAAAATGGTTGCAAATGGAGGGTATCATGCTTTATGACATAAGCCAGTCACTGAAAGATAAACACTGTATATTGTCCCTTATTAATGAGATTTAAAAATTGTTTTAAAATTTCCACTATTAAGTATTCTGATAGGGTTTGATAAATATTCTGTGCATACATACTAGCATGTATGTGAGGGTATATCAACACGCAAAAAATTGGAACTACTGATAAATTTATTTTTGGTTCAAAAAAGGTTGAAATCCATAGAATTTTAATACCACTATCTCAACAAATGTAGCATTAGACATATTAGCAAAACCACAATGACAAACACCATAAATCATCCTGATCCGTCTGATTTTCACAGCCATAAAAGAAAAATGATCAGGATTACCAGGAAAAATCTATTATAATAGAATTTATTAACTCGCCTCTCTTAGAGATCAAATATCAAATTAAAAACAAAAAAATTAGAATAGACAGAGAACAAGGAAAGCTTAGAACCAGACAGGAAATGGTCAGCAGGGACTCACATATACCTTACTAGGTAGGACACGAAAATAAGTTACTCCTAACTAGGGTATTGAAGATTTCTCTGCACACCCCTCCTAAAACTGTTCTGTGCCTCAACTGTTGACATATGCCTTGTTAAAGTTATAAGCCAGTTTGGACTATCCTAAAATCTGCCAAGTTCAGTAAAAATTATGCTTCAATACAATAAACTGCTAAATACAAAAATGAAAATAGACATGAGACAGCTGAATAGTATCCTATAGCCATTTTAAGGTGGATAGAAGCTGGATGTATATAAACTAAACCTGAAATGTTAATGAAGTAGTCACAGGATGTGGTTAAGAACCTGCATTTTCTAACATATCAGTCACTCAATACCATGTCAATTAACCCCATAATGTTGTAAACAGTTATTGATGATATGTTATGGCTTTTAATTGGTTGAAACGATATTCTGCCAGCTCTGCTTTTAGACCAGAGATGGTCTCCCCAAGAAACTGTTGAATTGATCTGGACAATAAGATGCTGGACTCTATGCATGGCACATGCTTGCAATGAAAGAAACAAGACTGGATTTGAACTGTAATACTGCAATAAGGTGGAATAATCCACCGGGGTGGGAGGAGGGTACGGGGAGGAGTCAGGGGAACCTCAGAGCCTATGAAACGATGTTATAAAATGAAATGCAATTTAAAGAAAGAAAAACCTTGTGAAGATTTTAACAACACATAATGAAAAATACATATTTAGGCTTGAGCTTTATGTAATAGGAAATACAAATTCTTCCCAAGCACCTTAGGAATATTATGGGAATTTATTATGTGCTAATTATACAGCAAATCAAATCTCAGTAGGATTATTATAATGCCACCCACTCTGATAATTCAAAAACCTTATTTGAACCTTATTACTTATCTGAAAATCAATTCTTACAGAAAGAGAATAAAAACATGTTTAAAAACTTGAAAACACATGTACAAGCTCATGCATAAAAAGAATTATAATAAGAATCAGGAAATATCTCAAACGGAATTTTAATGAAAACTATATCACTAAAGAGATTACACATGAAAGTTTAAGATATTTTTATTATTTAAAGATAAGTGTTGGTTAATTTGGAAAATAAACATCTTACCATGTGGAACTGTGGTCTGGAAAGGGCGGCTTGGGCTTTTCAGGTTCCATAAGGTCAAGCTACCATCTGAATGGCTGCACATGAACTGTTTGCCCTCATGATGCCAATCAATTGAATGAATAGCCTAATAAGATAACAATTAAAAACAAGTGTGCATGTGGGGAAGCAGAAACATATTTCTAGGAAGAATATTCTGATACAATGTCACTTTATGGACACAGAGAAACATTTTTCTGACCTGATCAGATTCCTTGGCTTCAGCCATGTATAGATGTATAAAAAGCTACTGAAGCTTATAAATCTAATCTGGAAAGCTCATGATGTCTATTCTCTTTTATAATTCAGTTTCCAGTTCTTTTCACTAAAAACATTTAGAGACAGTGACAATTTAGTAAAAGCTGGCATGAAAGGGCATCCTGCACCCACTTCTGCTCTCTAGGGTAACTATTATCTAAATTTTGAATATGCCAGCTTTAAGCTGATTGCCAATGGAATAATACAGCATACAATCTTCTGTGCCTATCTCAACTTCATCAGATGCAACCATTTATTGTGTGTGCTTTTTATTTGCTCATTCTCATTACCTGGAGTGCTCCACTGCATGAATATTCCATAATACAATTATATAACATTTCTTGCCAGATTATTCTTCACAGTCATGACCAAATATCAGCTATATTATAAACAATGAATTTCAAAACAACTTAAGTTTTTGCCACAGAAAATGAATCTTCTAAGGAAGGTATACATTTTCTTTAGTGAACTTAAAGACAATGAGACAAGGCACAAGCATGAACTCTGTGGCAAATAGAAGGAATTAAGACCAGAGTAAAGATAGAATATCCTCATGGGAGAAAAACCCCATAATTGAAACTTGAACAAATGTCAAAAGCCAAGTATTTGTAATTGGGTCAAAAACAAGGTATCCCATTATAAAACAGTAGAGTACAAAGCTTGAAAACAAAGTCATAAGTGCCTTCTCAAATATTTCGCTAGAAATAACTTACCTCATCATAATAAACTCTCAAATCTGCTCTTTTAGATTTCAAATCCCAGAATACTACAGTTCCATTTTCATATCCTATCAGGAGCTGTAAAAATTTCACAATTTTGAAAATTATTACATGAACTTCAACTTTTGTTCAATATGATAAAGCAAAGTCATACATTATAATAAACTTTATTTATATTATTTTAGGGGCCAGCGTGTGGCGTAGTGGGTAAAGCTGTCTCTTGGGAGACCAGCATCTTTTAGGGGCACCAGTTCAAGTACTGCTGCTCCACTTCTGAGTCAGCTCCCTACTAATGCACCTGGGAAAGCAGCGGAGGATGGTCCAAGCGACAAGCCCCATGTAAAGCTGGGAGACATGGAAGAGACTCCTGAACCCTGCATTTGGACCAACCAAATTCCAACCTTGTGGCCATCTGGGGAGTGAACCAGCGAATGGAAGATCTCTGTCTCTCCCTCTCTAACTGCCTTTTGAATTAATGAATGCATGCATGCATGCATCTGAAATATTATCTCAGTATGTGAATGTAGGTTTCTCAAGTTACATAAAAAGATTTAGATTTATCTACTTACTTATTTGAAAATCAATCCTTATAGAAAGAGTAGAGACAAGGCGGTTTCCCACCCACTGGTTCATTCCCAGAGTGTCTCAATGATCACAGCTGGGCCAAGCCAAATTCAGCAGCTTCATGTGTCTCTCTCACGTGGGTGGCAAGGGCCTAAATATTTGGGTCATCATTTGCTGCTTTTTCAGGGCATCATCAAGGAGTTGGGTAAGACACGCAGCAGCCAGGATACAAACAGGTGCCCTTTTAGGATGCTAGCATCACATACAGTGATTTTACCAGCTTTGCCAAAATGTAAGCCCATTATTCACACTGAAATAAAGCTGACTCTTGCAATATAAGAATTTATCAAGAATTTAATATCAGTCAAAATAGGAAATGTGAGAGTATATAAGTAGACATGCATATATAAAATATAAATACAAAAGAAAATGGATAGAAATTATAATAAACCATGAATATACCAGTCAGACCAATGCACTTGAGAAATGAACACAGATTTTGCTTCAAGTTTCTTTACATCAATCAAATCCTGTTGTTTCTTTAATTTCAACTTTTTAAACTCGTGGTTTATAAACCCCCAGAAGTTACAAATATCTTTGAGATTTACATTAACAAAGTGACTGATTAATGTAATTTAAAAACTTTTGAATTAACATGAACCGTACATTTTGTGAGATACAGTCTAAATTTCCATAGTTATGCATAGTAAAAACCAATAATGTCTAGAAACTAGCCTTTCTATTTCTTTTATTATGTCTTAGATTTAATCTACTGTTATGTGGAATACCAGTACCCATTACCTTCACCTGGCTGTATTTTGGCATTCATTCAATATCCCTTTGATTCCCCACTCTTTGCAGCTTAAATTAATCACTACTGGTGAGTGAATTAAGACTTAGTATAATGGTCAATAGACCAAATAATTTATAAGTATGTAGTTTTCCTTTTAAAATAGACTATTTGAGAACAGATAAAATTTTCAATGTAGATCATTAAAGTGATAGTTATTTTTGAAGCTATATCATATTCTTAAACATTTAATTATTAAAATTAAAATTAAGAGTTTCACATCCTAAATTTACTAAATTAAATACATAAATATTTACATAAAACTAATATAAAGTTATACCTTGACAGGTTTTACATTCAAATTAATTCTTTTTATATATATGAGAAAAATGATGAACCCTAAAAGCAACTGCTATGGACTTTTTTGGGCTATGTAAAAGATTTGCTAGACTAAAAATTTTAGAAATTATCACAGAAGTAATGAGATTAATAACATGATCCTCCAAATTAAAGGTTAAAGATGCAATAAAAATATTCTAAAACACTATTATATTGTTTTCAAAATATCTGAAAAATAAAGCTGTTCTGTTGATAAATCACCAGCAATAGCCCCCAATCATCACAACATACAGATATTGAGCCATGAAACATAAATTGTTGCAATAAATAAGACTATATTATAAGAAATACAACATTAGAGTCTTATAAACAATTCATGAATAGAGAAAAGAGCCTCTGATATTCAGGAGATGCCTGAGCAGGTCACTGTGTGACTAGGACAGACCATTGTAAAGATCAGGGAAAAGGGAGGAAGGGAGGAAGGAAGAAGGGTGGGAAGGGAACTCTGACAGGAGAGTAAGAGGGAAGCATTACTGTGCTCTTGAAACTGTAGTAGAATCATTTATTCACTTTACATAATTCTATATGGGTTGCTCTTACAGGTGGCAGAAGCTCAAGCACTTGCACCACTTCCTGCTGCTTTTCCAGGGTCAAAATCTGGAAAGAAGCTGGATCCAAAGCGAAGCAGCATGCATTGTAACTGGTGCTCACATGGGATGCCAGCATTACCGGAGAGGCTTAAACTACCGTGCCACAATGGGGACTGGGAGGTGGAGGAGGGAATTGAGATCCTTATTCGTGTAGTAATATTCTAAGTATGTAAAGCTACATATTTGTTATTTATATGTATCTTAATGTTGACACTCAGGCATTCTGTGTACATGATCATACGATCTAAAATACAGAATATTTTCAAAATAAATACCTCTAATTGTATTTAACTACATTATTAACATAGCAATAGTTCATAAAAATAGTGGATAAGGTGAGTCTCCTCTCTTTTCTCCTAACTTGGTTGTCACTCCTTCTAGTGTTTCCTCACTGAATAACATCCTGGATTTTGTAGTGAATGGATGGATGAATGGGTAGATGTACAGGCACAGATTTAAGGCAGAATGAGTAGATTCATATGTTATGAATTTATCAGGAACAGATGTTTACATTTTAAATATTTTATTAAAATATTAATAAATTATAGATATACATTCAATGAATGATGATGAGGTAAATATTCCAGTGAAACTATTATCTATGACAAGAAATACAATAGAAAAATACGAGATAAAGAATGCATGCCACTGAGATGCCTATTCAGTCAGTATTCTCTAAATTCTTCTCCAGCTACTATCAGGTTTCCAACACCAGAGCTATTATTTATTTTTGAATTTTACGTAAGAGGAATTATATTTTTAAGTCTTGACTCTATTTTTGTTTGGCAGTAATTCTATTAGTTTCATTACTGAAGTTTCACTGTTTGGCTATTACATTACTACAATTTATTCATTTCACAGTTGATGTAATAATATCATGAGCAAACTTGTATGTATTTTGGGTGAATACATTACACGCATATTTCTCAAGTACATATTGATCTATAGAGTATGGATAAATTTCATTGGTATTTCCAAGACATTTTCCGAAGTGGCTTTGCTAGTTTTCAGCCAAACACACAAGAGTTCCAATTTATTCTCATTTTTTATAATATAAATATAGCTACTAACCAAATAGCCAAGTTTCAATAAATTTCCTCACTCTCCCTAGTGTACCAAAGATTTTCTAGTATAGCAAAAGATATCAAGAACAAAAATTTTTTGCAGATTTATTTTTATTGGAAAGGCAGATATATACAAAGAGGAGGAGAGACAGAAAGATTTTCTGTTGATGATTCACTCCCCAAGTGAACGCAATGACCGGAGCGGAGCTGATCCGAAGCCAGGAGCCTAGAGCCTCTTCTGGGTCTCCCACGCAGTTGCAGGGTTCCAAGGCTTTGGGCCATTCTCGACTGTTTTCCCAGGCCACAAGCAGAGAGATGGATAGGACACGCAGCTGCTGGGATTAGAATAGGCACCCATACGGGATCCCGGTGTTTTCAAGGAAAGGGCTTTAGCTGCTAGGTCACAGCACCGGGCCCAGGGAACAAAATATTTAACACCATTATTCTTTAATACCATTATATTAGTCAACTTTTCTTTATCCTCTTCTTATCCCCTTGCCTTTCAGCCAAGAAATTAATTTAAAGGTTTTTCCTATGTATCTATTTTTATTGTCATATCTTATTTTTGTTAAAGTGAGAAATACATTGACTTAGAAAAGTTAAACTGTTTGTAAGATGATAGGGATTCAGTGTCTCGTCCATCACCCTTGATCAAAATTGCTAGAAATCCAGTAGTTTTGTTAGATTTTAGGTTTTAAGATTTTATAGCTGGAAGCAGGCAAGGAGATGGCTAAAGAAAATATTTTCCTTTAGTTGGAGGCAAAATAGAAGATAAAGAGAGGGTGGGAGTGAGCCTACTTAGACAAAGAGCGGGGGGGCGGCGGTTGAAACTCAACTTTATTCTGTTTGAGTATCTTACCCAGCTTGCTAGGCAAAGTGCAGAACACCACATGGACCCTGAAAAGGTGGATGGGTGATCCATGGAAAGGATCTTTGATGAAGTTTACTGCATCATATTAGTACTTTGGAATGTTCTAGGTGGGAGGAGGGTTTCAGAACAATAAGCATTCAACTAGTTATCATTTATCTGTTGTTTCATCAGGCCTTAGAGTTCATGACCAGTTGCCTAAAATAATTACCAGGCCTCTGCAGCTTAACAGGCTATAGCATCAGTGTTTTCAAAAAAATCAACTTTTGTTTTTCCTAATGTACTGAGTTTTTGCTTTCCAGTCTTATTAATTTATTCTTACATCTTTGAACTTAGGATTCTCCAGAGAAACAGAAGCACAACAGGGGGATTTCCCTATATAAAGATACATAATGAAGAATTGTCTCACATGGTTAAGAAGGATAACTGCTCCAAGATCTATAGGATTAGTTGGCTTGCTGGACACCCAGCAGAGTCAATGGTGCTCCAGGCTGAGAACTAAAAGAATCAATAACAAATAATAATAGTAATAATAATTGCAGACTCAAGATCAGCAGAGTCAAGATCAGCAGCCTCAGAACTAGAAAAATATATTTCAATAGGAAAGACCTGATGTCTCAGCTCATAAGCAGAAAACGTTTTCTGCTGCTTTGGTGAGGGTCAGTCTCTTCTAACTTCAATTGATTGATGTGGCCAGCTCATCTTAGGAACACAAAGTACTTTCTCATTCTATAAATTCATACTTCAATCTCATTTAAGAAAATCCTGAAAGAAATATACCAAAAATGCTTTGGTTTCTTTAA